CCACTCTCTCTCCTATGCCGGTAGATTGGAACTAATTCGATCGGTCATTCAAGGCATTGCTTGCTTTTGGATGAGCATCTTCCACTTGTCGGGCATTATCCGAACAAAAATCATTCAACTATGTAGGAGATACTTATGGGGCTCCAAAAAAGCCCCCGTTGCATGGGATACTTTGTGTCTACCCTGAGCGGAGGGAGGATTGGGGCTCCGTAACTTGGATGCTTGGAACCGAGCCCTTCTCATGCGGACTCTTTGGAATATGCAAGCTAAGAAGGATACACTATGGTTCAAATGGATCCACAACATCTATTTGAAGGAGAAAACTATTTGGGATTGGCAAGTTTCCAAGAATGACTCCCCTCTCTTTAAATCTCTCTTTGAAATCCGGCAAAGCTTGATTGAAAAGGCGGGTAGCGAGCGCGGTGCGGAAGCCCTTTTCCGTGCTTGGAGTTTACGCAACAAGCAAGACGGTACTAGCAAGTGTTACGATTTTCTCCGACCAAAGGGTATTGAGAAGCCATGGGTCGGGGTTGTTTGGGGGAGTTGCAATATCCCCAAGCATTCCTTCATTTTATGGCTTGGTGTGATGAATAGGCTCCAAACAAAGTCTGAAGTTCCTAAATGAAGACCCGACATGCCCCCTTTGTGGTACCGCGAACGAATCCTCGAGCCACCTCTTCTTCGAGTGCCCCTTTAGCTCGGAGATATGGAGTGCAATTCGAGTTTGGGTTAGCCTCCGTCACATGCCAACCACTCTAAAAGGTGCCCTCAAATGGACCAAAAAAGAAGGGAAAGGTACGACTTGGAGAGCCAAATTGAAAAAAGCAGCGCTTGCGGCCACCGTCTACTTCATTTGGAATGCGCGAAACCGATTGATTTTTGAGGGCGAAACCCAACCTCCAAGCCTTGTGATTAGAAAGGTAAAGGCCCACGTCTACCGATCTATTTTTGCTCTTTTTCCGAGTGTTCTTGCCGAATTTGAGAGAAGAAGCCTAGACGTTGAAGTATAAAATTTTGATAATTTTTGGGGATGGTTGA